ATTCATGGGTATCTACGGAGAATGCAGCCAATGATTTGTCAGACAAACCGTGCATGTATATAGAGTCATGGTCTATGGCTGACCTAAACGACCGAGATGCTGTCAATCCATGTGCAAAGATGAAACTCGCTCCGCTTCTGCGTTGTTTAATTTGCTCTCAAGGCACCCAAATAAAAACTCCTCTTGCGAATCCCTCTAAAAATCCATTTTGTCCCAAGAGTAGTGATGCTGCCAACCCCAATGCGTGAAACAGGGGTGACAAGTGTGAGAGTACGCTCTGTTCGATAACTAGCTTATTGAATTCTGGAGACCCCATCTGTAACACAGTCACCGAACATATCACAGACCCCAGTATAAAACTCACTAACACCCAACCCCTCGATGGGTTTACCAAAGCTACTTAGAATGAGTACCTGAGTCTGCTGTATCGGATCTCTCCGAAAACCTAGAGTCGTTCTAGAGGACCGGAAAACCAGCACCAGGAGGCCATTTGATGGATGCATGCCCGTGAAGCCATTGTTCGGTAGTAAAAGAAATCGTTTGACAAGGTTGTTCGAAAAGGTAACATCATGCTTCGTTCACTTCCAATCTAGAGGCAGTATTACGGTGTTTATCACCGAAAACAGCTGCTAGCCATATCAAAACAGCGAAAACCATTCATTAAATAGCATGGACGCGAGAATTGCTACGTATAGCGATGTAACTACCTTCACAACTGGGAAATACTTCCTGCCAGTGATTCGTAGTCATCTGGACCCTCCAACTGCTAGAGTTTTTAGCTGTCTCCCGGAATCATTCACCAAGAAGCATCTTCCTTGGTCTGTGCATGGGTACCTGGAGTATTCGGTTGAAGTTACTGATAAAGTGGGAGAAACCGAGTATCAGGCTCCTGTCGGAAAACTGTCTACTTTACGCTTCGTTCTCCTTATCCTTTATGTTATTTACAGATCAAAACTACTTGACTGCTACGGTACAGAAAGCTAGATCGCAGGCTACAAATCGCACAACGGGGTCTGCTGACGGGCAGAGTCCGTTCTGTCCGGGAAAGGTGAGCGCGGCAATGCTCACGCCATCCAGAACCCCTATATCGCTGTCATATAGGACGCAGAATTTACCAGAACTTCTAAACTCAAGCAGTCGGAGTGATATGGAGCACGTATCTAGATGCCCCGTCGGTAAAAATAAAGCACAGGAAAGACGCTCATGTCCACCGACGAACATACCGACACTTGCTATGCTCGACCTTACCTCACCGACGACAAACCACTCGGCCGTCAACAAGCAGTAAACTTCTAATGACTGTGGTGTTTGCAAAGAATCACTATTAGAGGCCCAAGAGGCCTTCTCGTGCAACATATGTCTGAGATAAATACACTGTAGTTGCCATAACGGTACACCACGTCGGTGCTGCAGCTTCATGAGGATGCATTCATACAAGTGGATATAGCATATCTGTCCCGAACGTTGGAAGTCACCCGCGAACATCACCGGCAAACTGGGAAACCTGGCACGGCCCGGGATATTATGAAGCACGGGCACCCATAACCGACCCTCAGAAACTGAACGACCTCTACGAACGTCCATGGTTGTCACTCCTAGACACAGGAAAGTACTGGTTACCACTCAAAGTGAGGTATCAACGGCGGGTTCGCTTGCATCGATGCAATCAGACGTTCTGTTAAAACTGAGCAACCTGATAGGTAGGTTGTGTCGAGAACGTGTGGGCTGAAGTGAATGGGGTGAAGCGCAGACCGAAAGCATTATCTGCCAAGCCCAATGCCCCGCAGTCACAAGACAAGAGAACGGATTCTATCATTTGCTCAACGTCCTTACACCAGGGGACTCACTGTTGGGAAAAGGTGATCAGTCTAACGTGGAGAAATGGGATGGCTACTGCGGGAAGTTGGGAATGAAAACCGTCGCAGTTAACTCATGTTGGTTCTTCTGAGGAAGTGGAGCGCCCCGAGACGAGCCACCAACTCTTAGGTTACTATCGGCAACAGCGAAACGGTTGATGAGCATACTGCTGCTGTTGCGCTGACCAGGCATCGCGGTCTGCTGCGTCATAAGCGGGAAAACCAGATGAACCATGGGTCACCAGAGAGGCGGAGAGGTCACCACTTAGTGATCTGTACAAGGCTGCAACCATGGTGAAGCATGGAATACCCGGACTGGGGGGTGGATCCACAGAATGCATAATTACCCCGACGGTGTCCAGTAGTGGGGGTGGCTGGCGACAAAAATGGGACTTGAAAATTTGCCTGCCAGCAGCGTAGGTAGGCTACCACGACATGCACACCTGAAGTGCGTTTCCTCGCCATAGGCGCCAGCCATACGCTTTGACTCCAAGGGATCACTCAGAGAAGCCCTAACAGCATGGTACCGTGTAAAAGATCGAATAGGAAGGGCTGTGCGGTACTGAGAAGGTAAACCACAGTCCACTGGATTGGAACATGCAGGAAAAGCTCCGAGAACACTACAAGCAGCACTGGTCACAGAGAAACTATTTGTTGAACTGTGTGTAGAAATAACGATCAATAATACCATCTCACCAACAACAGGATCCCTGGAGGGACCAAAAGTGGAGGCTAGCCAGTCCAGTAGGGACTTGCAGTCAATATCCGACGCAACAGCACACCGGCCTACAAACAAATCTCTGCATCGCACTAAGCCCATAACGAAGTTTCTTGGAAACCTTCTACGGTAGTGCAGGAGGTCTCACGAGTAGACTACTGGAGCTTAGAACAGTGTACCATAATCTGCAAGCAGATATAATTCACATAACGGAAACATGGCTCTCATCAGACATCGTGGATGAGGAAATATATACGCTTAGCACGACCTTGTTCCGAAGTGATATGCAATTCGAAGAAGGTGGACGAGTTGCCAAACCCACTGGAACGCACCTAAAAGTCAAACAGGCAACTGACAGTGTGCTTAGCTTACTACCATACTCCTTATGGTGCCAATTAACCATAAGCCAAACTAAGTACTATTAGCAGTGGTATATAGGCCTCTACTTCGCACGACAGAGACCGAGGCACGATTACTCAGCTCCGTTTCAACAACCACCTCGGCGGTCTGTGACCAGGCAGTCCTTGCTGGAGATTTGAACACACTGGTACTCACCCCGGGATATGAAGTAAGATATGGGCACAAATCCTTTGAATATAAACTTTGAAATGGCAGCAGGACTGATAGAGAAAGTTGTGGAGGTCACTAGACGGAGACCAGATGGAAAAGGATCACCACTCAGCCACGTTCCACCGGGAGATGATCTTTTGGTGAGCGTTATCTGCGTCCAACCCCTTTGGGCATAAGTGACCACGCCTTGATAAGACTCTCGCCGATAACCAAGGAGAAACTGCCAATGGTGGAGCCAGAAGCGTCCCGCTGTTACCAAGAAGCAGACTACCATCTCGTGAACAGTGAACTCCTGCAGGCTGCACAGCGATAAGAATGGCACTCACCACTAACAGACGGACACCGGGTACATATTAAATATATTGTCTGAGGGGTATCAAAGAGGGTGTTCTGAAGTTAACAACAAGAGGAGTCTCTCAGGGAGAGATCGTTCCACCACTCCTAATTTTACCATAAAAAATGACATTCCCACTAAAACCTCCTCGTCTATCTCTTATTTGCCAACGACACCGAAATATGGTGGAAAATAGTCAAGAGAGAGGACCCTGAGGCACTTCAAAACGACCTGCACTGGAGTCCTGGTCAGCTGCAAACGGCTTGGGATTTGACCTGAAGAAGTGCAAGGGGATGTATCTTCACGCACGAGAGGCGATGGAAACTAGCTGCACTCTCAAAAACTGTAATCACCAAGGTATCCACAGAGAAAGACCTAGGACTAAACTTTTCTTACACATTGGATACTAATGACAATTATAAAGGAATGGCAGCGAAGGTGAACACCATCACACATTTACTAAGAAGGCAGCTCGAATCATCAACCCCAGAATTATTCCTCGTGGAATTTAAAACCTATGTTAGATCCCACCTGGAACTGTTCAGCATGATAGTCCACCGCTACTAAAGAGGGACCCAAATACTGTTGAGAAGGTACAGAGGGGAGCAACAAGGTTGGCTGTCAGACTTATAAGGAAAACATAAGCGAGCGCCCAAGACAACCCAACTTGTTCACATCCAGCTATAGAAGGAAACGAGGTAGCCTGATAACAGCTTGCAAGATCGCCCACCAAGGGGACCACCCAGACAGGTCAACGTTATCGGTCCGAAACTGCCACTGCCATGGGAACCGCACCAACATAACCCACCATAGGGCAAACGCGAGAATGAGGTCAAACTAATTCTCACACACAGCACACGCCTCATAGGGCGTAATACCTAAGAAAGTAGCCAGAGCTACATCAGTCGACCCTTTCAAACGACTACTGGATAAGTACGTGGGTGTAAATGGCTCGCTACGAGCATTCACAGGTTGCAACTGATGATATGCTCATCCATTCACGTATTCTTCAACACTAGCATATACTATAAGATGCATTCCTTCTCCATATCATCACCAGTAACACTCATCTTTCCATAAGTACTTTTCACTCCTCTTTTGCTTATTCCCCAAACACCCTATTTCTAGCTCTTTTCAAGTAACGCCTAATACTTACTTGCAGGTGCTTGCAAAAACAGGAATTGTAAAAGGCTAACTGATCTTATCAGCAGCTCCGTTGCCAGCCTCAAACAAACTAAACTACAATTTGCAGGAAAAAACAGTCAGATAAACAATCACTGCCTCCAAAAGTGTAAGCGGGATAAACGTCAAGAATTCTGTGACCACCAAGGGAGTACGGCTGGACAAAGAGAACTGGGCCTCAAGACCTAGAAGCAAGAGCTTGAAAACTACAAGTTTCCTGTGCTCACACTACTGATGCTGGATGTTAGAATTTATTACCACAGACCAAAATCCACAAGCTAGTAGTTTTTATGCATGGAAAACCGCTTTACGCCCTCTAGAGGGGGTAAATAGAAAAACCGAAACAGCATCATCGCAGCCAAGTACTTTTGTTTATATGCTTCACCGTCTAACCTAAGCTATACAAAGTGACCTTTCAAAATTATGATTAACGATGGATGTTTTGAAAAGACGATTAAATGAGTTCAGAGAAGAAGAAGATGAATTAAGAAGTAAGATTGCGGACATAGAATCTCAGATAAAATGTGTAGTGGAAGAAACATACAAAGTACTGATTCACCTTGCTAATAATTAGTGTCCTAGGTTAATTCTGAACAGTACGAACTTGCGTCTAAAGAGATGTTATTAAAGCAGAAATGTGAAGTGCAGAGTATGAGATTAAAAGACGCACTCAATAGGCTTTCTGACCACAAAGACAATCATAGTCAACATTCCAGGTAATCATAATTTAAGGTATCTGAAGATCCCAGAAAGTTAGAAAATTTGAGCAACAAGAATTACAGTCAAGACTCAAAAATGGATGGACTGGAAGCAGAACTATCAAGATTACGAACCGAGTACTTAGAGGTTCAGAGTCGTGTTGATGAGGTTACAGCTTTCAGCATTTTAATACAGAGTTCCTGTAGGCTGTTCTTCACTTAAAACACGTAGAATTCGCAAGAGAAAATGCCGAAAAGAGAGCTGCAATAACGGAGTCGTATGATTTCATTTTTGACCAAATAATTTTTTAAAAGGAGACTACAAGAACTGGAAAAACAACACGCGTCCACGACAGATGCCTTGAAACGTGCTGAGCTCAATGATATGCAGGTGAGCAGTCTTATGATGTTTAGTTCAGTTACTAGTTTTCGAGTTTTAACCAATAATATCTCCAAATCCAGTATCAACTACTTTCTTTTTCATCCTTAACCACTTTGCAGTGTACTCAGTGGCGGTCCATATTACTGTGAAGGGGATATGTAGGTAATCGAAGTTAACTGACTTTCGGCATGTTTGTTAAATTGAGTACACAATAGCACTTCAAACATATATTTGAGAAACGGATCTGATTTCTTGTGACAGAGTGGAAGGGGAGTTTCATCCAGGTGTTTACAAATCAGAAAACAGAAACCTTTGTTGAGACTATTTTTAGGAAGTTCGTAAGAGATCGGAATATTGTTCAAGTTTGAGTCTTGTCAAAAGAATTTTGATAGTTAGGCTTACCCATCTCTAGAAAAGCTGCTTTGATATATGTATAAGTCTAGATTATTCCAATCGGAAACTAGCAGATATGTTACACCCTTGATTTTTCACTTCGTCATATGTTAAGCAAGTAGTAATGAGTGCTACAGTGTTGGTGCGGTTTTTGTTGTCAGTAGTCTGCTTCTTAGGTGGTTAACCCAAGATGGTTCATTTGTGTTCATTCAGATAACGCTGAATCCATTGGTTTTCGATTGGGCTCCAAGTTAAGCTTAAGAAACAAAATGTTTAGCGAAGCGGAAACGATCTATGCAGTGGCAGTACTAGCAAGTAACTTGCATACTTCTTGAAAGCTGAAGAAGAAACGTGGGTTGACAATGGGAGTGAGTCAGTAAATAACCAAGTGAAGTGTCGTGATCATCGAACTATGGTCACATGAGAGCAATATGGAAATGCCGAAAGAGCTGTGAACATTTAAATAACCTGAAATGGTAACTTTGTAGCACATAAGAAAATAATGAGGGCTAACAATTAAGTGAGAAATAATTTTTTTAGATGCTAAGAAGGGTTATACCAGTCGGCATTGGTCATCCTATGTATATGTAGGAGTCCTTATCTCAGCGCTTGTTTTTAAGGATCTTGAAATCTTTCAAGGCAACTCTATTTGTATCTATTCTGTTTTCAAGCGATATTTATATCGAGGGTAGCTGGATATTTACGAATTGTGGGAAATCAGTCCATACAGTTTCTTTGCGGAAATTGTGATAAGATTTATATTTAATTCGAAAATTGCAATGACTACTAATGAAGTTCTATGTAACCTACTCTGATTTCTATATTGCGTTCAAACTTTCAGTTAGTTTTACTGCTGATTTTAAGTAACAATAGCTGGCGGTTACTGAAAATAATCCACTAGGTTTTGTAGCTATATGACTCTTGAAATTTAAATCAAGCTTGCCTGACTTAGCCATGTTATGGTCACTACTGATATCTCAGTGAGTGACTATGTTTTGCTGGGGCATGATATTAACGATTTAGAATGCATAAGTAAATGCTTACAGGTTTTTGAGCTAAGCAGTTAGCCTACCTACTATGCGAAGACTAAGTTTATTTGGTTGTCCGAAACTCCATAGGTTAAGTGGATTTCAATTCCGTGACCCAGTGATTGAAAGCCGACCATGTTGGTAAACTTACCGTAGCTCCACTTAAGGCCTAAAATAGTTACATATCAACGCTAACTGGTACATCGCCTAAGAAAGGTAGAGAAAAAGTCAAAATCTTTTGAGACAGAAATGAAAATAGCAGTGTTTTAAGTAGTAAAAATCTGCAAGTCAAAAGAAGATAGAATACGCAGGCATATCACACGATAACAACATTTCGTTTGAGAAATACTCCAAACAGACTTTCCATATTGGAACATGTGCATTTGTTGTCAGGTGTTATTGCAACGGTATGTTCGTGCTTTTTGCATGAACTTTGTTCAAGGAATATTACGAATAAAAGTAGGTGCTAGTAATTTGACTTACTTCAGTTCCATGTATGCGGATGATGACCGTTGTTGAAACAGAAGCTTGGGTCGCAGTAAGATTCAAACCCTTAGGCCTCTGGTTTGGGATCTGTTGTAGCCTGGGTTTCTGTCTCAACTTCACTATTGCTATTGCTTACTGTTCTGGTCATATAAATGTAAAGATCGACAGTTTATCTGTGCGAAATCGGCATATAGAATTTATTTTTTCAAAAACAATGTAACTTGCGTTTGAAAACATTTCAGTACGTAGAGAATTTCAACAAGTTGACTCTCATTTTACTTGTAGACTAACCAAACATTCTGTCAACTTTTTGTTTTGCAGTATCTTTCTACTGATGACCTGGAAACGAAAGAAAAAAATTTACGGGAACAATTGCAGCTAGTAAGATAACTTGTAGATAATTTTTGTTTTAGTGCTTTTGATCACTATTGGTTGTATATTTTCTGTGTTATGTTCACCAAAGTTGTTTGTTTTAAGGAAGTGTCAGGTTTACGGGGTGTGGTTAATTTGGTCTAAAGTCTATAATTTCATTTATCAATCCTTTTCGTGATATGTGGTTGCAAATTATACAAAATGACATCCCAGGAAAATGGGGGAATCAGTCATCGTTCATGTTCTCAACTCATCTGCATAGTTTCATGATTTTTTTTAGCGTACTTTATTCAATATATTCGGTGCTAGAAATAGGATAAAGAATAAACTGGGTATAGAAAAACTTATTTCACATTAGAATGAAAGTGATAAATATTTCTGTGAAAAGTTTAAATACCAGTGTATCTCTTCCCAAATTTGATGATTGGATTTTAGCATTTGAGTTGCTGTAACTGTAACCACATTTATTTCGGAACATTAAGCAATAAGCCGCATCTATTATGTGAGGATGAATGATACTACCTGGTTACCTAACTTGTGCAAAAGAAGTTTCAGTAGTGTCATATGTGCATGGGACGTCTATACTAGGTCCAGTAGAATCAGACTGTTCTGAGTTTGTAATGTTATCGTGAAAGGCAGTAGAAATGTCGTTTTCTTGTCAAACAGATATTAGTGTAATCATAATATTTGAGGCGCAAGTGTGGTCCTATCTTACGGGAGATGGATTTCAGTAGCTTTCAATTTTCAAAATCCAATCATTTTTGTAGTCTAACGTGTTTCTCCTTATAACTACTATATGTTGGATTTCGCAACGTGTTTTGTACACTAGTTAAAAAAAGTAGTAGAAACAAATTAACTTTTGTACATTGAAAGTTCTCATTTAAACATTTAGAAAAAAGATTCATAGAGCGAAGAAATGTATTCCTTTTCAATTAGGTCTTCGTCTTTGGTTTTACACTCATATATAGGTTTACAATTGATATAAAAAGGCTAATCAAGTATCGGGCGGGGGTGAGGGTGGTAATCAGGTTTAAAAATGGTAATTATAATAATATGGAAACGGTTATTCTACAGCAAATAGCTTAGTATAGTAACTGGTAAAGCACGTGAAATGTTTTCTCTCGAGTGGTCAGTTGTAAACGGTAAATAACTATGTAAGAATAAGAAGACGAACGAATGTTAGTAGGACGAGTGGTGTTCAAATTAATAAATACTAAGAGTTACATCATGTTGATGGCCACGGTAATGAAAGTGATTGAACAAATTTCTTTTGAATACAAAGATCAGGTTTGTAAAGGTGGATTGCAATCGCCTCTTCTATGCGAAGTAAGTGAATGCGTAGTGTATGTGGTAAATTAATTGGTATACGATGAATAATTATTATCAATACTTAGCTAGTATCCACTTGATGTTCAGTGTTAACTAAGTGTGCAAATATGGAGCTATTTATTGTTCTAATCTGTCCAATAATCAACTATGATAGGTGATACTGAAGAATTTGACGATGAACCTGCCTCATTATACGCCCAGTGTAACTGGCTTCACAGGAGCAGTTGAACTGATAAGTGCACATGTAGGTGGCACAATCAGGCAGTCTGTCTTTGTTCTTTCCACATAGAATCGCGCTACTGTAGATGATGGGGTTATAATTTAGTGACTGGAAATGGTCTTTGTAGGGTTCTTTTTATGTCTTGTATTATGGTCTAACTGACAATGTCAATGTTGACTTCCAGTTTAAAGAAGATTTGCTTGTTATGAAGTGTTGAGATTCTTGTATTGACCTTGTAATGCTTTGTGGATGATGATTAATTGTTGTTTACCAACCCTGGACCAGTTGATTGGTATTTTGATATGTTTTAAGTGTATATATTTGAGTGTAGTCAAAGACAAAGACCTAATTGAAAAGAAATATATTTCTTCACTCAATCAATCTTTTCTCTAAATTAATTTTGTACTAGCCGTCAATGTGAATAAAGTAGCCACCTAGTTTTTCGTTTTGTATGAAGATGTGTATGAAAAGTGTGTAGGAGCTCATGAAATCGATTTGCATGTACTTAATTTATTCTGAGTCATCTGAACACACAATGTCAGTTACAGTACTGAGATGAAGAAAGCTTTGATCGGCAAATATTTTAGAATGGTTTGAGTCATATAGGTAATTAGTGCATGAAAAAAATAATAAAATTTACGATACAGTCATCATCATTATCAACATAGGACCAGGCATTACTGCGTAACGGTCCGAGTTGCCACACCTCATATCGGCACATCAAGTAAAAAGGTAGTGAGGCGAAGGATGAAGATAAGTGAATGCAGTCAAAAGAAATATCAAGTACAAAAAGAAAAGAAAGAGGAGTGACAAAATGGTGAGATTCGGTATAGCGTTGTTAAGATGAGGATAATGTATGTATACATCTGCGCCACTGACTTCGGTTCTGAGCGATACAGTATCAACTATTAATTTAAAACCTTAGATGAAGTAGCTAAAAGCCACTCACAGTTGTGCAGCTCCCTTCACTTCTAAAGACAAACAGTCTTTTGACATGTCCAACTTCTATTTCTCTTTAGATTCTTTGTTTTTATTGCTGTTTTTGACTTAAAGCATTGCACGACGTTTTCGTAGTGTAGCAATGTGTATTGTTCATGGATGTATAGTTTTTCGGTCATCTTTGATTTCAATTACCAGTTCGCAATTGTTGCATATTGACTTAAGCACTTGAATTTCATCATTGAATCACGGGTCAAACCTTACATCACCTGCTTCCGTTAGCATTGTAAATCCATAAAGTTTAAATATGCCTCTGGGCTTATTAAATAAGTTAATATACCAGGTTGAGTGGCATTCCTTTTTTTTAAACTATTCAATAGCATTTTCAGAAACGTTTGAAAAAATTGTAGTTGTTTCACAATTGTAGGGCTTTTTATGTATAGGACTTCGTTAACGGGAATATCGTTTTCTGCTTCTCTGTTTCTTTCCACTGAATGATATTATCTCAGTTTATTATTTAATTAGGTCAGTAAAACACTGAAATATGTGATGAGAAAAATCATACTTTCACTGTTTAGGAGCTAATTATTCTTTTTATCGATCTGAAAACGACAGTATTTTCACATTTTTATTGCTGTATTTGAGTTTACATTGTTCTTAACTGTGTATATCTGTATGTATGTATATATAAATCAGTATGCTACCTTCATTCACAGATACAATAAAATGTATGCATCACACCAGGATGTGTAGGACTAATAGTTTACATATCTATTTATAAAAAAGTAATAGTATTTTAACAATTTTATTACTCACGTGGGCAACTGAAAATCCTAAATTCGAGTAAACCAGTGCTTATTTCACTGTAAACACCACTGTGCTGTTTTTATATTTCTGAATATGTATCTGCATTTATCATGTAAATGTTTAAATCATTGAGTATATTTATTAGTGTTACTCTTTTCTGTAAAACTCATAACTGTTACATCTGAAACACTAACATAGATGTCTTTAAAATAATATTACACTGCAAAGATAGATATACAGATCATTGAGGACCGCATACAGAGAAAATAATTCAACTCAACAACTATATGTATATATTTGTTTAATAGGCAACTAGCCACAGTAGCTGTTAAAACTTTGTTATCATCTAGTTCTTCAAATTTCAGTAAAGTGAAGCACAGCTTAAATTTTTTGACTCATCATTATTCGAAAGTTTAGTGCATAATTTAATAAAGTGAGAAGATAATCGCACAAATATACAGTTATAGTTTTACTTACTGTTTATTCATACGGCAGAAAAATATAATCAGGTGATGACTAACCTTTTTGGTTAATAAAAATATTGGAATCCAGTAGAATGGTGCAACCTTCTGACATCTCGCCTGGGAAACTGTACTACACTGACAGTTACTAATATATATCGTGCTTATATTCTTTCTATAGGCTTACGTATTCTATGTTAATGGAGATAAATCCAATGAGAAAAACTACCATAAAGGTTTCAAGTTGAGCTGCAGTCCGTTAAGAATGTCGACTCTCTATTTGTTTTTTTATATTTGACTTTATTACAAGCATATTTTCTAAAAGTTATATTCTCTTATAGTTTCTTTAGGGGTGATCTCATATTCTAATATTTCTTAATAACCATCAAATAAGCAGCCGATATTATTGTCTTAATTAAAAATGCTTGTAAAATGTAGTTTCCTAATTATTTTGGGCGACAATCTAAGAATTTTGGGGTGTCATTTCTTATTTCTCAGATTCCAATTATTCTTTCAGAACTGGTAAAATAGGTTAAAATTTTAACGACTTCGTCTATCTAGTGATGGGTACACACTTCAAGTAAACTGAAAGTCGTTATCGTTTTCGAACTTAAATTGCTTATGATACGGATAATCCATCGCAGTTTGTATAAAGGACAAAGTGTCCTACTTTACCTTCACTATATGACCGTTAAACATATTCATGAGTTGTGGGAGGTTTATGAACGCTTTAGGTTATCCTACTACTTCTTCTTCTTCTCCTTCATGTTGCTCGTCATAAAATGGATTTACCGTTTAAGCAATAAGGTGGTTACATAATGTTCAACATTGTGAGTTCTATTTATTGTGTAATCTATTCTAGGTTTAGTACGTACATAGAAACTAAAAGTGTTAGATTATTATGCGATTGTGTAATAGTTTATTATGTTCCAGGCAGATGTTTGAATTTCTATGTATTTGAATCCATGATTAAGTCGTGAGTGAAAAATTCTCGACTTTTACTAAATACATCATAAAACCAAGGAAAAACTTGACCTCTTGTTCTAATTATCATCACTAAAATCAAAACATGCGATGTAATACTTGATCATTTCATTTTCTCCATTCACTCGTCCATAAGTTTATTGCTGATCAAATAAATGTGAAATAGAATTCACATCATTGTCATGCCTAACTCAACAGGTGATTGATTTTTATCAACTAGATGACACCCTCATGCATTATGTATATTAACTATATTAAGGCACGTAAAG